CAGCATTACACAGCTGTTGGTGATCTGCAACCCAGTGAGCCACCCACCTTTAATGGATTATCATTAAACACGTGGTAACAGACATTAACAATGGTATCAGTATGCCACTTGGATTGTCACAAATGAGTATGAACGAACAGTCGGGATCCCAATGCATCACTCTTCGGTTATTTGGCATTTGTGAAACATTGTGCTTTTGAGTTGTTTCTAGGATGGTGCCATTTAATGGCTTTGTATCAATAATGACAGTCAGCACCAATTCCAGACTTTTGATGCTGAACATTCGGGTTGGTGAAATTGTGCCCTCTGCCGTCACTTTGGTGATTCTTGTGGCAGTCTGGGTTAAAATACAACAACGTAAAAATATGTAGCAGACGTCTGGTATGGTGCTGATTCGGTTGACAAAACACTTAGGTATGAATGAGTGGTGGTGAGAGGAGGTAGCCGCTTAAGGGATAGCCGACGTGCACCTATGCTGTGACTCATCAAAAGACAGGCATCTGACACCCGCCTTGGTAATGTCCCCCCACCCTGTGATCTATAAGCTTGCAGCTTCGCTGATGGCACGAGCGGTGAGTCACCTGGACGAGATGTCGCCAGCAGGAGTGGCCGCTCTGACAAGTTCTCGCACCGCTGCGGTCCTTCTGCCCACCACGACATTGCTGCTGCACCACCGGCCCCCACCCGCTATCGCCATCGCCCAGGCCGGCGTGCCTATCGCCCTCGGTACCGACTTCCGTGCCAACCTCTTTTGTACCTCTATGGTAAGCCTCCACTCCTTAGTACTCACCAACTCCTACTCTCACCTGTCCCCTTCATTCCCTTCCCTTTGCCTCTTCCTCTTTTATAACTGCAGTTCACTTACTGAGAGCACATAATCATGTAAACGCTTTAAGGCAATGATTGATGCTAAGTACTGCTGCTTTGAAAGTGAGGTAGGTCATTTGCTAATGACATTTCGTGGTCGTCGCCTAATTCTTCACCGTTCCACAGAGCTACTGCTCAGCTTTTAGAACTTATTCATCACTCTTCAAATTTAAGACGGCTTTTCCGCGAGAGGTTGGTTTAATTTGACCAACAACAACAACATCAGCAATGATGCACCTTATTTGCTAGTTGATTGGATTTGTTGGTCAAGAAGGCGCTCGGAAATCAAACAGATTTGCAATAGTTGTAACAATCCAGACTCATTTATGAACTGCGGTTCCATGAGTTCTTCTTCTTGCGCACCTTCTACTTACTGTGCACAAAGGCTTTCCATTTCACTCCATTTGTGTCAGCCATTCAGATACTTAATGCCACTTTTATGTTTCTCGAATTTAAATACTTAAGGGTTTTTGTTGTCAACCGGGACTTTTCACTGTCCCATCTCTACAACTTCTTAACACGTGACTACTTTTATGTCGCCCTGATGCCTCACCATGCGTCGTGCTGTGGTCTACTAACGAAGATTGCCTCGTCTGTTTCAAGCACCCTTATTTGCTTAACCAGCTCATTGGCGTCCCTGGTAGATGGGATTGTGTATGTGCTCGTCCTCCTTTACCATCATGCCTTTGTCTCCGTGCCGCCGCCAGATTGATGTGCACGCGGCATTGATTGAGCGTTGCCACTAGGGCTGTTGCCACCACAATAGACAGTTGCCACCGCGGTTGCATCCACGGCCCCTGGAGTAGTGAGATGACAAGGTACGATTAAGGTCTGGGCATTTTGACGTGCTTTAGAGTCACTTGGTCATCCACATTTCTTCCTTTGTTGCAATTCCTCTTACTTATTGATGGGTCGTTCTTATCGTAATTTGTTAGAGGTGGTAAAGGTGGACTATGGGATTATTGAGGTTGAGGTAAATGACAAATTGAATGTGCAAATTTTGCAAGCCAATTGTAAAGGTCAAGTGGTGGTGAAAGCTGAGTTGCTTTTCGTGCACTGGAGAAGATTGCGATGCCTCTGATGTGACTGTAGAAACACTGCAGATGTAGGCGTTGATTTCACAAAAGTGGCACAAAAAGAGGATTTCTAATTGACCAACCTTCTTTTAACAATCAGTATATCTGGGTTTTGGTTGACCCAGAGCACTCGTTAAGCAAAGGCTCTTCTACGTGGGTTACCTCCCAGTGTGGGCGTCTCGAATTTCGGCCTTGTATTTATCACATCATTGGTTCGGAATCCTTTCTTTTTCCAGTGTCGCAAAACTTGCTTTCAAATGATCTAATCATCAGAATTCGCATTGTTGTCTGCTTATACCCAGCCTACTCGTCGTAGGGCACACTTTCTTTTGCACATAGGAAGCCAGTTGAAATTGGTGCCTTCATAGAAATCTCGTATCAGCATACAGATTCGTACTTTTGGACTTTATTTTAGGACACAGTTGCCTCACTCTCTTCAGTGGAATTTGCGGCTTCAAGGGCCATTGGGAATAAACTTAAATGTCTTGATTGAATTTCATGTCTATTCTCCAAGTAATTCAGTAGACTATGCAGGCTGTAAAGATTTTATTACTGTACTGTTGCAATATGAGCCCTTTACTTCGAGATGGTGTATTCAAAGCGTTCATCAGTGTGTCTAGAGGTGACTCGGATGGTCGCCGCTTCCAACTCAGTTGCGAAAGTAACCATAATTAAGTAATCTTTTTTACCATCTGCATGTTTTTTTTCCTCGTTTTTTCTCGATTTTCCCATGGTTTTCTATGGGTCAGGGAGAAAAATCTCTATCTCAGTTCATGCATCTCTCGCATTTGTTTTTTTTTAACAAATTGTTTCAACCTCAGGGGTGATTAATCCCACTACCGGGCTGATTTTCACCACTTTAAGGTTAAGTGCCCTCGGGAATATCCGGTTATGCACGCAGAATTTAACCTTTCGCTGTGGTAATATTATTCATTTTAAAAGAAATTCTCCTTATAACCCCGCTTTGGCCAAAATAAACGAACTTTTGAGTAGGAAATTACCTTATCCTAATTTTCACATAAATTAATGAGCAATTTTTGGTCTTCGAAGCATGCTCTTAATTGGGGAAAATTATTCAGC